CCGCCAGGATAACCGTCAGGGGAAGCGGCAATCCTGTCCCCGTCTCTCCAGGCGGGTATAATACCCACTTTTTATGGTCTCAGTGGCCGCCTGGATAGACGTCCACCCTGGACGTCTATAAGGCCGTTTTTAGTGCGTAAACCCTAGCGGTTTACGCCCAAATTATTTGCTGGGTTTCCCTTCATTCTGCGTCGCATCTTTTTTCCATACGCGTGGAGAACTGAAAATGTCCCTTGACTCCATTGGTTCTCTTTTGCCGGAATCGCAACTAAAGCATGATTCTTCTCTACGTCTTTTTTTCTCAATTCTTCACTGGTTTCATGTCATAAAAAAATGCCACCCAACACTTCCTGGAATGTTTGGATTCCTGTTATCTCGTCTCATTGATGTTCAGAACATTCTGCTGAAACCATTGCGCCCTTCCACACAACATTGAATTTTGGTTTCTAGATTTAACACTATAAACATATTTAAAGTTGTCCGCAGGTTTATGCTGATGCTGAAATTTTGGGATGTTCAAGTTGGCAGATACACCTATGAAGCTTGCAAAAAAAATGAAACACCACAGGACAGTTGCAATGTCACTTACATTGATTCAAAAAATGGGTAACACATGTCAACATTTCCAACGATAAGAGTCGAATCTAAGCTACTCAATTTAAGCTGACGAATCCATATAGTTCTCTAGACAAGGTGGTTGCAAGCTAACTTTGCACCTGTCCTCTATTTGAAGGGGATTCTCATTTGTTCCCTGAATTGAAGCTGTTCATTGCAGGATGGCAAAATTTTCTTTCTGTGGACCATTTTGCTCCTTTTGAAGGAATTATAACTGTGAAAAATATGTTTTCATAGCTCGAGTCTTGTTGCTCTTTTCAGCCCAATGACATTGAGCCATTTTCCTGCATCTTTCAGGCTGAGTTTCAAGTTCAGTTCCAGGCGGGGGTAAACAGTTTTTTCCATCAAGTCTTGCATGAAAGCATCCACCTTTAGTGCAAAGCAGCTTGATTATAGTCTGAATTTCACAAGATTTTAAAAGATGTTTCACATACCACATTGTCGATTTGGTCCAAAACTCCTCCTTGACTCTCAGTAGTGTGTTTGAAGGAAATGTGGCCAATGTCGATCAGAGCAACAAGGTCAAGTTGCGGGTCAAAGAAATGAGCGAAGTCAGCAGTATCTACTGAGAACTGGATAAAACTTGGTCAGCTTCGATGTGGACTATTTTCTAGCCGCCTGTTTACCTTGGAAGAAAATCCAAGAGTGTCAATCTGTGCCAGCAATTTACGTGGCTGGCGAATCAGACCAAATATTTCGACATCAATCTCGTAAAGTAGCTCCAAGGTGTTCCATATTAAACCAGACCCTACATGGGACCTTGAATTGGTTGAAATGCTCACTTCTGCTGGTCCGTTTCTTTGAACTGATCCATGGCCTTTCAGATGCCCGTTGTAGAACATCACTGATCCTACACGTACATCAATTGGCCCCATTCTTTCAAAAAGAAAAAGAAGCATTCAATCATGAGCATATTCCAAATATATTCAGGAACAATCAAAATATAAAAATTTCTATTAGAGGGACAAATTTCAAAAATGTGTTCTTTCAAGGTTAATAACATTTGAATGATTTTCACTTATAAATGCGTACACGTAATATCGTGTTTAAATTGCATTAAGTGCAATAACTGGTGTATTGCCACAATTTCTTCATTTTAAAAATCATGGTACCTGCAAGCATCCAAAACGTGCCTCTGAAAAGTTTCCCAGATTGCGGAATACATTTTCAAATTTCAGTATTTAAAAAGTTATGCTACATGATAATCTGAATCCTGAACATACAGAGCCAGCTAAAAATGCATATTTTGAGCCTTCACTTTTAAATTATAATGCTACAACCGTGGTGTGATTACATAACTATTCACATGCATCACCCAAGAATGCTGAAAATGTTTGTTCAATGACATACTGTATTCCCCCATGTGGAAATAAACAATTTTTATGCTGCAATTTTTCTTTGCCTATGTGAATACAATTTTCATGTTCTGCTCGAAACAGATGAGGCATAGTACTGCATATGCCTCATATGTTGAAAAAAACAAGATTGAAAGTATGCCTGAAATTTTCTGAGACATTCCAAGCCAACTTTTTCGAATTCTTTAGATTTCTTAAAACGTCGTATTATCTTCTCCAGTTACTTTCCATCATTTGCAATTCCACCGAAGATAGTGAAACAATATAATCTGTAAGACCCGTGAAAATAGAACCAGGAACACCAACAATATGCTGTATTTGAATTTCATTCAGAAAATGCTTCGAGTGTAGACCCAGAAAACCAGGGGCTTTGATTACCTCAAAGGTTGATTTGCTCCTCCGAAAAAAACTGTCTCAGGAAGAGGCAACAATTCCCTCGTCATTGACAGCAACTGGTCGAGGAGCCAACTCCCATCAAGCTTAATCCCAGTTGGAGCTACTTCAATTCCAAGCGATTGAACAAGTGAGGGGAGATTGGAAATGGCACTCGGGGCTTCCGTAATTATGGTCAATACTTCATTGAGTCCAAAAATCCGCTGAAATAGGAGATTACTTTACACTTCAACAAATTTTTACTCTTCGCTCACGCTTCCAAGCCTCACCCCGTTAGGGCTTTCAAAAGCCACTACTCCGTTAGCCAACCTCGATGAAGTCCAATTTGATGGAATTAATGTTTCGTTCAGGGGTGCGCACAACACTCCGGAAACACCAAGGAGAACTAAAGAAACAATACGCAATGTGTCCACCATTTCCACGCACGCTTAGCACAATAATTCTGTTCGCAATCCTGTGTTGACAAAATGTTATGATTAGCCACTGATTTCACCACAATATACGCAACTCTCGCTCTTCAATTGAAGGCGCGTGGTTATTTTTGTTCTGGTTCTGTACCCCTTGTCACACTCTGTGACAACATAGAGAAATGTGAATTTTTTTTATCAGGGCTTGGGTTTTTATATCCAGGCATTGCTCCTTGCTGCACAATAAGTCAAGCAATGAAGTGGGTTTTCCACAGAAGCTGTAGATGCCCATTGTCTCTGACAACTGCATCTGTCGAGGACAATGTGACGAACAAGTGGGGGAACTCAAGCTTGGGTATTTTTTTCTGCCTAATCATGGCATGACCTCGGAGAAACAGAAATTCCATGAATGAGAAGAATCTCAAATACTTGTTCCATAGTACATGAATAATTTACTCCACGTTGACCCTTTAAAAAAACCATCACCTTTCTTGCTTTTATTTCTTGTGGAATAAGTGCGCAGTTTCGTTATATTCAGTGCACTTCCAGTCTCAGCATTCATAATTAAACTGGATTATTCGAAGACAAGCATTCAACGGTGACCTTTTTGAGTTGTAAAATTAATCGAATTGTATGCCAATCTGGCATAATAAAGGAAGATATTTTATGGATTGTTGTGCATAGTTCTTAAAGAATTGAATCGTTCTTTTTTGCCTAGTAAAAATACTGCCTCGCGATTACTTTGATTTCCAAGGATTTTTATACGTTCTAAAAATCAAAGATATTTCTGCACTCGCATTACCCCAGAAATGAAGCATTCCTCCAATGAAAATTTAGAAACTCCAGTTTTACTCTATGTTCTTTTTTTTACCTTTTGCAACTCCTGTTTACCATTGATAACTTATTTGGAGCTAGGCTTAAGAATATTGATTTATTGAGACACTTGTCGTTGAAATCGGATTAGATCATGGACTTCAAAATAATGCGTGAATGAATATAATAATGGGTGATGCATTGACGTTATCTTTTCACTACAACAAAAAGCCATGCCCCGTAGGCATGGGAAAAGTTGACAAAAATGATCCAGGCTTTCCTTTGAATGTATCAGATTATTCCTCGTGTCATATTAATTTCATTTAAAATGCTTTGTGAATGAGTAAAACAAATTAAGCAGTGGTGTGGAAATGAGGCGCTTATACCTGGCAAGACGAGGACTTCTGACTTCCAAATTTTACCCCAGGTGCTCTGAGATGCTTTTTCTCGTTCCAAGGGTATTCCGAACGGTGCAGACAGGCACAGACTTACGATTTTTCTCCAAAGTTGATGAGTTAGTCAACAAAATTAGTCTCCTTATCATAATGCGGGGTTTCATCACGCGAAAGGTCCGCAGCATTATCCATCTGTCGAAAATTTAAATGAGGGGTGTTTAGAAACACGAGATTTGCTAGGAATTGGCAAAAGACCGATAATCCTGAAGGAATCTCGTGGGACGAGGAATGACCTCGAGTTCCCACGATCT